TCTTGGCTTTAAAAATAGATTCACTGCGTACTAAACTTGCTACGGTGGTCCGGTGAGGGCTTGAGAGTTGTTTTCATGACATGGGGCCTGGGTTTCTTCTAAAATCTAAAGATTACTTGAGTTGCCAGGATGGCTGGTGATCTGGGTTGCCTGACCTGTAAGGAGAGGCTGAAGGAACTGAGCTTGTTCAGCCTAGAGAAGAGGAAGCTTGAGAGGCACATTTGGAACTTTCCAGGGTCTATGAGGAGGTTATTAAAAAGGCAGAGCCAGGCTCATCACAGTGGTGTATGTTGGAAGGACAAAAGACAAAAGGTGAGAGGTGGAACAAGATGTTCAGACTGGATATAGGGAAAAAATTGGGGGTTGGTTATTTTTTTCACTATAAGGACAGTCAAGGAGTAGAAGAGATTACCCTGGGAGGCTGCTCAGCCTCCATCCTTCGAAGTTAAGACCAGACTGGATAACCTGATTAACCTGGTCTGACTTCATAGCTGACCTTACTTGGAGCAGGAGGTTGGACTAGAGACCTCCTGCGGTCCCTTCTAACCTCAATTATCCTGTACTCTTATGGTCGAGACACAATGGTCTCGGTGGCAGAGGAGAAGAATGCTTTCTTGGCCTTTGTCACTGCTTTGCCATGGGATTTACTCTGTGAGCCTGGTAACTATACAGGGAAACATACCTCTATAGCATACCAGGGTTGTTTTTTTCCCCCATTTTGTGCAGTATTACCTTGTCTTCTCTTCATTTATGTGGCCTTCAAATGTGGATTCAAAAGGGACATGGTTTTTGCATCCGTGCACTCAAAATACCAGTTGGATTTTTCAATAATGGGTCATTTCATGCTGCGGTGAAGGTTTAAAATTGTGTGTTGCAAAAATAACTATTGTGGCCGCCAGAGGTGCCACCAACTGCTATGGTTACGTTGGTGTGAAGGGGGGGAGAGGTAAAACAAAGCCGTGTTTTGTCCAGTTGCAGAAAACATGGTTGACATCACAGAATTTGGTACAGCTACAAATGGTCATGTATCTGAGTTAAAAATCTCACATTACAATATGACTTGAAGACAATATCTCTGCCTGAGCCATTGAGATAATATTTTTTGTTTCTGTGGTTTGGTTTCTAAGGCTTGTGAAGCAAGCTGAGTAGGCTTAATAGTACATACATTTTTCTGACAGCAGGTAGGGCATATATAGATAGTTAATGACTCAACAGTGAAATATGCTAAAGGAATTTAGCCTGTGAAAGCCAGCTCTTGAGGTTTTTGTAATTATTCACGCAGGTTGAAATGTCTGAGACTTATGAATAAACTGCAGGAAGATTAGGGACTTACTGTCTCAGTAAATATGATAGTAATTACTGAAGGTCTGCTTTCCTTCTTACACGCGTGGGCTTTCTCAGAACACCTTTACTGAGACTGACTTGTTTAGAAAATTGACACTGTTTCTGCATCTCCAGCTCGTTGTTTTGCCTTGTTTCTGTCTGTTTATCTGGAGAAAAACCAAGTCTGTTTCACAATTTTTGAGAACTATATACTGTGTCTATTCATCTCTCAGGTGAAGGAGAAGATGTATTATTTTACATGTATTGTACCTGAAGTTTGAAGGTTGGGGTAGGTTTTTTTGTTGTTGTTGTTTCCTTTCCTTTACCCTGCTTTATTTTTCCTTTAACTTCATGACAGTTCTGTGGACCTAATAGATCCATTTTTCTGTAGGTCATCCTTCACACACCTAGGATGGTGGGATGGAAACAGGCTCGCTAAGTGAGAACATGACTGTCTACCTCTGATCTTGGCTAGTACAAATGACAGTGTAATTCTTATTTTCGAGTAGCACTTAATAGACTGACATGTTCACCATGTGGGAAAAAACCCCAATAACTATGTAACTATGCATTTCTGTATCACAAAAATAAAACCTGTTGTGGTGGTTCTTCAGTTGATAGGAAAACATGGTTTGTGTATGTGCTTTCATAGGAAAAACTTTAAATACTAGAGAGCTTTTTATCTGGTACATAAATGCATTTGAAAAACATAACTAGGAATCAGAACTGAAAGCTGAAGCCAGACATTTGAATGGGAAATTTGGCACTGGAGTTTTTTATGAGGTAATGGATGATCAGGGGCAATAATACTTTGCTTTTAATGTCTTCAATAATTGATGTTTTTGAAAATGTTTCCCCAAAACAATAAGGCTCAGAAAAATATGCAGTGTTTAATGAAGGTGGTCAGATTCGGTGATCTAGTGATCCCTTCTTGCCTCGGGCTAGAATTAGGGACACATTTCCAGCATTGTGGTCTTGTTGCAGACTTTGGAGAAGACGTGGTGAACAAATGTTTCCCTGTAAAGAACGTGCCTGACTAAGCACTGGTATAGTTGGTAGCCATGGGTGTCTGCTGTCTTGTCACTGTTCCTGCCAGATGCCATCATGTTGGTTGGTCTCACAGCCGGCAAGAGTAGTAGGAGATTCCTAGATCTTGAGTGCTGGAGGACTGTGTTCCTTCAGTGGATAGAAACTCTCAGCTGTTGTACAAGAGTGTTTTCTTTTCCACCTTGACTAACAGGACTGGTCATAGTTTGTTTTACTAGCTTCTTTTCCCAGTCTCATTTGCCATAGCTGGACACAATCTCGAATATTTTTTTTTTCCACTCAGTTTTCTTCTTTGGTTCTTCCATCCAATGATTTATTTTTTTTTCTGTGAGCTTTCTGCTGTTCCTGGCATCCCTGTTCTTTTTTTTGCTGAATACTCAGTTTTCCATCACCAGATTCCATCTCCTATTTTGTCCTGTTCCTTTGCATCAACTTCTTTGGCTTCCCATTCTAGTCTTTTGCCAGCCATCCCATGTTTCCTCTGCACTTTGCATTGTTCTTGGATCTGTTTTGTGGTTTTTCTTAATTGTTTGCTTTCTACTCTCTCAGTACTTCAGTCCTTTCTTAAGCACTAAATAGACAAGTAGTTCTTTTCTATTTGGTCCTCTTTGGTAACTGTGGAATTTGGTACAGGAGTCTCTTGTATGTTGTGCATTACACAATGAAGTCCTGCTTTTGAACAGATCTCCAAAAGGGAAAAAGACTAATACAACATTTTATTGACTGGTTTGGCAGTCTTGGATAAAAGTGGTTTGGTAGAATGCATGCTACTTGTTGCTGTAATTACAGCATTAATGAATAGTGAAGTGTACCAAACAAGGTATAAAGAAATTAACATCACTTTGAAGTAAAGGGTTAAAAGCTTGGACCCTACATGAGCGGAGCCTCTGACAAGCAGGTTATACTGAGGCCAAGGGAATCAAAAGGGATCTCTGGCTTGTTTCAATAAACTGGTTTTTGGCACAGGTATAGCAGTTAAGTTTTTGTTGGTGACCTTCGTTAGTTAGTAGATTATTTTTCATTTTTGAAATAGATTGTCTGCATTGTTCTCATTAATGAGCGTTTCTAAGATTCAGCAGTATTTGATGGATAGAACTTAGAAAAAGGGAAAGAAGAGCAGGAAAAATGCTGAAGTAAGGAGCTTTATTTTATGATTATTTTACCTTTTGTAGAGTAAGTTACGCTAGTCTTGCAAAATCAGTCTTGCAGTGGTCTTGCAGGGTTATCCCTCTGAGTTAGACCCACAGAAGAGTGGAAAGAGGCTTTTCCACCCTCACAAATAAATGCACAGAGCTCTTGGAATAATTTTAATAATTTTTACATATTTGTCAGGTAAAGTTTCACTTTTTCAGCTAAACTGATCTAATAGCTAGCAATTCCCAAATGGACAATCTCATCCCCTTTTCCTTACATGCTGACCCAAGTGCTTTACTGATGCTGCAACTGATTTATGGAGGATTTTGTGATGCTGTCTTTTTTTTTTTTGAGCAAAGTAATTCTTCTTGATGAGTTTTTTTTTGTGGTAGCCTTTCAAGTTCTAAAAGTTATAACATTTTGATTTTATTAAATGTCTAGTCTTGTTTGTAAGATTGAATAATTGCAAAGGTAGAACTTTTGCAAAGAAATTAGCCAAAACACAGCTCTCCCTGAATCCCATTGTTTCACAGCAGTCTCAGTCTCAAGACAGACTTAAATGTTGTACTCATCTTTAGCCCTATAAACATATAGGAGGGTTGCTGACTGCGTAGTCTATGTGCAGTTTCTCTTCAAATATAACTCGTGCGCAAGGTGTACCAGTTTAAGCTCTCAGGAAAGCTCACTTCTGCTTTATTCCCCCTCCCCCTATTTTTTTTGGTCATTGAGGTAGTTTTGAGGTCATTAAGGACAATGGAAAGCATACATTCATTCTAGAAATTCATTCTGTTCTTGATGACTAAGTGTTGATGTGCTTATTTAGAAAATAGTGTCCCGCTAATATTTGAATCGGAACTTCAAGTAGAAAGCAGATGTGCTCTTAAATTATGCAGAAAGACTGGTCCCTCTGTAATAATATGCATGGAATATTTGGTTTAAATTGTAGACCTGCAAATGTTGAAGATTTAGGCTTTTTCTAAAGGTTTCAATGATAATGAAATAGAAGTATAATCAAGTATCAGGGTTAGGTGACCTTCAAGAAAGGAGTATGTGGGCATGTACAGCAAAACTCCCTTTACATTAATGCATTACTATGGGGAAGGAAAAGCCTTTGCCAGCAAAACTTACATTCATATGTTATTATGAACTTATGAACATGTGTTCATAAAGTAAATTACTGCAGCAAAGGGCCTTTTCCTCCTGATATATCTAAGTACGGTAAAAGTACTGGTTTGAAATAAAGAGATCTGGAGGGAAAAGACAAATAGCTTTCAGATATCAGTTGTATTGTTGTTCTTAAAACACTCATTTTTCCTTTTGAAGATCAAGTTCTTTATAATTATAATGTTGCCTTGAACCAGTGGAAACAATTTGTGTAACTGAGATTTAACTGATTTAGGGATTCATTTTGGTAAAAGCATCATGGAACATAACATTTTCATATTAGTCAATAATGAATGTGGTTGGAAAAAAACCAATGATTTCTTTTTTTACAGAAAAGCCTGCCATTGCTCCACCTGTCTTTGTATTTCAGAAGGATAAAGCACAGAAGGTAAGGAGATGTTGACATGTTTTTTGTTTGTTTGTTTTGTTCTGTAGCCCTGAATCATTCCATGGTGAGCAACTGTTTGTCTATATTGTTTTGAAGTTGAAGGTGGATAATGGAGCATTAACATAATTAATGGGCATAGAGTGAAGAGGTACTGGAGGGCTAAAAGTGGGAAGATGTATGGTGGTGGCATGAAATGGGTAGCTCTTCAGACAGAAGATGGACCATGTCTGGCAGAAAAAGTATCTTCAGAACTGTATCTTGAAAGGAACAGGTGGCAAAGGAGTGCTGACAGTTGCAGTTGCATGAGAAAACTCTGTTATCGCAAAAAGAAATGTTATGGTTAAGACAAAGCAAAGAAAAGCATGGTCTAGATTATTGCTTTTCACCTTAGTATATTTAAATGTATCTCATTTCTTTAGTTAGTAAGCTGTGAAGTGTCTAATTACCTTGGAAAAAGGTAATCCTGTTCCCTCCCTGTCCCTCTACCCCTGCCATGTGTTCCTGTCCCCTGCCTTTGGGTCTGTGGTAGCGGTTATACAGTGTTGAGGTAAGTTGGAGCTGTGCTGTAATCTGCTGGAAGGTGTTCCATGGGTGAGGTTGTGTTGTACCAAGAGGCTTTGATACAACTCATCCTGTGGCTGCAGAAGGAGTAGAGCTCAGGAGAGAAATGAGAGCTGAAGGAAGGAGCAGGACCTTCCCTTTAACAGAAGTTGCTATTAAATTGAAAGAGATTTAATGGAAAACCATGGCCATGTGGACCAAGTGCAGTATAGTTTGCATTCCTTTTCACTTTGAAAGTGGTATACAAAATGCTATGGTGTAATGCTAGGGTGTAGTTTTCCTTACTTTTTTTTTCCAAACAGTAAGCCTTCCAGTTTCTTATATCGTAAAAAATATTTTTGGTAAAAGAAATTGATAAGAATCCCAATATATCGTGGTATTTAATTCTGCCTGATTAATAGTAAAAGCTGTTAACATTTGGAAAACAAAAATCATGGTTACCCTTGTTTCAGCTGAAGCCTGTGGGAATCAAGAGAAGTGTACTCATGTACACATAATTAAGTTTTTGTTGAATCACTGGATTGTTATATTATCTGTGCAATCAGAAAATCTTCTCAAATGTTTGAATAGAAATACTGAAGCATTTTGCAGTTGGTAGCTTGCTTTGGTTTGGAACAAGTATGACTTGAACTTTCTCATGGATTTTGTAGGCATATTCCTCAGCAGGAGCTTGAAATCTTTTGCAGCTTGGAAAGGATTTAAATCTGCCATTCTTCTAATATTAGCTAATCAAATATATCTCGGAGTAAATACTTTTGAGATGTTCCTTCCAATTACATTTTTTACAGTGACCGTTTACATGTACTTTGGAACAAAGGGAGGGCTAGTATTTGTGCTATCAGTTTGGATCACACTGTTTCCGTTTAGGAAACAGCTCCCAATCACCTGCTGTTGCTTAGACTGTTCCTGAAGTCCCTTCTGAGTTGCACTATGGTGAGTTTTCTCCCCAGGTGTCCTTTAACCTGGCAGTGCTTCCACAGTTTGGAAGCAGTGATCCCAGGCAGAGCAACATGTCCTGTGTCCTTTCTTTGCTGGCCTGGTCCTTCAGTGCTAAGCTGGCAGGTCTCAAGTTCCTTCATGTTGTACCTTCTGCTTCTGCACAGAGTGCATACCTGCAGTGGCCTGCATACAGTGCATGCCTTCAGTGTTAGGCTGTGCAAGCTCCTATGTTGGGCTGTGGGACAAATCTGTTGCACTCTGGTATGTCTCAAGAAAATATTTGTTAAAAATCTTAACTAAAGGCTTAATGGTTTTTTGGGCTGGCAGAGAGGATCCAGAGTTCCAGGAAGAGGGATCTGTGATTTAGTCTTCCCAACTGCTTCTGATGATGCTGAGGACTATGGTGATGTTGAGTAGTTATCTGTGTGCAGGACAGCCTCTGCCAAGGCACAGCCAGAAAGCCTGACAGGTGGGGTGGAGGGACTGTGTGTATCGAGGCCTGTGGGTGAGCCAAGCATCTTAAAGGCACGGGGGTTAGAACTGAGTTAGAAATTGATCTAAATGCTAAGAGGTATTGGTGCTCAAGAGGGGGCTAGCCATGGTCAGTATGGGCATGGAATAGGTGTAGCTTGGCTGGGCAGCAGGGCTTGTTCCTTGAAGCAGATTGTGAGGAGTCTACCAGTGGCATCTGGCATTTGGTTGCAAGTTTCCAAAGTGTAATACATCTATTAACAAACAAATGCTTATGTTAAACTGCGTAATGTGTGGAGATGTACAACTTTCTTGTGGGGGGTGGTTAATAATCATTTTAATAGCTTATATTGTGTGTATTTGAAACTATAGAAAAAGAGTGAGAGAATCATCAGTGCTGTGCTTCTTGCCATTTTATTCAATAAAGGGCCAAAGCCTGCTTGTTGCTTGTGCCAGTAGCTGTTTTTGGTAGTGTTGACACAATAGTAATAGAGTCAGAATACGGTGCTGTCAGCCAAAAGTAACAGCCACTTAATATATGCTGTATATATCAGAACCTAGCATTCAGACCAGCTGAGTGTCCCTTTAATCAACTTAATCAAGAAAAGGTCACTCAGGTTACACACTGATCGAGTCCTTTCACTGTATTTTTGGAAAGACTAACAGCTAACTCTTACCTTTAATGGTTAACTCCATTACTGTTTCCATACAAGGTGCCTGGTTAAGTGCATTGCCTGCCACAAAAGATTATCCTTATTAAAGTTAACAGGAAAAATCTATTAACAGAGGAGTTCTTCCTAGAACAATGTTTTGAAGAAACATTGATAGAATTAGATCTGGCCAGGGAAGTCAAGGGCAACAAGAAAAGCTTCTATAGGTATGTTGGTGATAAAAGGAAGACTAGGGAAAATGTGGGCCCTCTCCAGGAGACCTGGTTATCGGGGATATGGAGAAGGCTGAGATACTCAACAACTTTTTTGCCTCAGTCTTCACTGGCAAGTGTTCCAGCCACACTACCCAAGTCACAGAAGGCAAAGGCAGGGACTGGGAGAGTGAAGAACCATCCACTGTAGGAGACGACCAGGTTCAAGTCCATCTGAAGGTGCACAAATACATGAGACCTGATGAGATGCATCTGCAGGTCCTGAGGGAACTGGCAGGTGAAGTGGCTAAGCCACTATCCACCATATTTGAGAAGTCGTGGCAGTCTGGGGAAGTTCCTACTGACTGGAAAAAGGGAAACATAACCCCCATTTTTAAAAATGGGAAAAAACCCTAAGACCTGGGGAGCTACAGGCCAGTCTCACCTCTGTGCCCAGCAAGATCATGGAGCAGATCCTCCTGGAAACTATGCTAGGGCACATGGAAAAGAAGGATGTGATTGGTGGCAGCCAACATGGCTTCACTAAGGGCAAATTGTGCCTGGCAAATTTGGTGGCCTTCTACAAGGGGTTACAGCATTGCTGGATAAGGGAAGAGCAACGGACATCTGCCTGGATTTGTGCAGAGCATTTGACACTGTCCTGCATGACATCCTTGTCTCTAAATTGGAGAGACATGGATTTGACAGATGGACCACTGGGTGGATAAGGAATTGGCTGGATGGTTGCACTCAAAGAGTTGCGGTCAATGGCTCAATGTCCAGGGGGAGAGCAGTGATGAGTGGTGTTCCTCAGGGGTCAGTATTAGGACCAGTGCTGTTTAACATCTTTGTCAGAGACATGGACAGTGGGATTGAGTGCACCCTCAGGAATTTTGCTGACAACACCAAGCTGTGTGGTGTGGTCAACACGCTGGAGGGAAGGGGTGCCATCCAGAGGAATCTTGACAGGCTTGAGAGGTGGGCCTGTGCGAACCTCATGAAGTTCACCAAGGCCAAGTGCAAGGTCCTGCACATGGGTCGGGGCAATCCCAAGCACAAATACAGGCTGGGCAAGGAGTGGATTGAGAGCAGCCCTGTAGAGAAGGACTTGGGGGTATTAGTGGATGAAAAACTGAGTATCAGCCAGCAATGTGTGCTCACAACCCAGAAAGCCAATCACATTCTGGGCTGCATCAAAAGAAGTGTGGCTAACAGGTCAAGGGAGGGGATTCTCCCCCTCTACTCCACTCTCGTGAGACCCCACCTGCAGTACTGTGTTCAGCTCTGGAGCCCCCGGCATAAGAAAGACAGAGACCTGCTCAAGCAGGTCCAGAGGAGGGACATGAAGATGATCAGAGGGCTGGAGAACCTCTCCTATGAGGACAGGCTGAGAGAGTTGGGGTTGTTGAGCCTGGAGAAGAGAAGGCTCTGGGGGCAACCTTAGAGTGGCCTTCCAGTACTTAAAGGGGGCCTACAGGAAAGATGGGGAGGGACTCTTTATCGGGGAGTGTAGTGATAGGATGAGGGGTAACAGTTTTAAACTGAAAGAGGGTAGATTTAGATTGGACATAAGGAAGAAATGTTTTACTGTGAGGGTGGTGAGGCACTGGAACAGGTTGCCTGGAGAAGTTGTGGATGCCCCATCCCTGGAAGTGTTCAAGGCTGGGCTGGATGGGGCTTTGAGCAACCTGGTCTAGTGGAAGGTGTCCTTGCCCATGGCGAGGGGTTTGGAACTAGATGATCTTGAAGGTCCCTTCCAGCCTAAAACATTATGATTCTATGATCAGAACCTGCAGTCTGTCATGTTTATTTAGAGGGGACAAAAAGCACATTGTGTTCAGAATGATGCCTCTTAATTTTACTTTCAAAGGAGGTTCTGGTTGTCTTTCACACGTAAAAAGATAGGATTACTCCATCTTTTCTGATTTTCATTATAGATATCAATTAATGGTGGTTGTAAAGTTGGCTGTTTCCACATTTGTCGAATGAGTCTCCATTTTCATATTTTCATTCTCCTTAACTCTTTGAGAACTATTTTTACAATGTGTGAAATAGAGTTCTTGCAAATATCTGAATGATAGCATCCAAATGTCGTCCTTGTTTATACAGTGCTATTCATTTTTCTGACAAGCAGAGCTTCTAGTGCTGATACTGGTTGGAAAATTGC